AAGTAATTGCCGCTCTTTTTACGTCACAGGAGAGCGTGGCGCCAAGCATACCGGGAAATGTAGTTCTTGGAGGAGGTAGGCTTGGTAGAAGGTGGGTTCGTTCTTGCCAAGTATTGATTCCTCCTGTAGGCGTTTACTGTGTGCTCGTTATTCTGCCCTACTGGTGTGGGAAGTGTAGGTAACAAAAGTCAATAATAAAAACATCTGTGAGTGCCAGTTGTGTATGATAATAAAAAATAGACATGTAAATGGTGCCTACACGTGACAGATTTAATACTGGACAAATTCTGGATTCAGATACAGTTGATCCTTGAATAACATGGTTTGAACTGCAAGGGGCCACTTATATGTGGGTATCTGTCACTAACTACCTACTACAGTACTGCATGATGCAAGATTCGTTGAATCCAAGGATGTGGAACATGGAGGGAGACTAAAGTTATATGGGGATTTTAGACTGCACTGGGTCGCTGCCCTAACCCCCTTTTGTTCAAGGGTCAAATGTATTAATAAAATAGAGGGGCCTCCTCTCTAGAGGCTCCTACTCCAGCGGGGATCAATGACACTTAAACGGATATTAAAACAAAAACAAAAACAAAAGCAAAAACAATTCCTACCAACTTTAAATATGTCGTGAGAGCCAGATCCTAAGGCTTCAGAAGATTAATGAGATAGACTCCTCTTGTGTAGGACCTTAAGAGACTGATACTTAAATAGTCATAAGAAAGAATACTACAAATCTGCTAAAAATTCTTCCCAAGGAAATCATCGAAGATGTGCAAAAAAAATTTATACAAGATTCATCAGAGTATTATTTACTGTAGCAAAAGCTTGAAGACCACTTAAATGAACAACATTACGGGATGGGCTAAATGGGCACATGGCTTGAATGGAGCAAATATATTGGACCCTTTAAATGTGAAAGTATACATATAATTAAATGAAATGGGACATAGTAACAATGTTTGGAAAGCAGAATAGTACGGTGGCTCAGAGGATGGTCTTGAAAACAGGAAGTCCAATATTC